TCTCAGAGCCAGAAAGTGGTGATGGGCTGTGGGCCCAGGGCTCCCCATGAATACTATTCCTGGGCTCACACTCTTGGTCTACAGCCAGCAGAGGCGAGGGAGCCACCTCGGGGGCTCCTTTGACACATGTGTGTTGGCCCTGTCCAGGTCCTAATGATACCGTCTCACTCTGGATACCAGCTTCTCGAGGGACTGCCCACACCAGCCCTGAAATCCTCTTGCCCCTTCTCCCGGGCCCTTGGTGGTAGGAAGGAAACACATATGGACAAAAACGTTCTTTATGCTAAAATAAAGTCTCCATAACCAGCAGGCCTGCTGAGAGCAGGATGTTGGTCAAGGCCACCTCCAGCACAAGGCTCTCTCCACAATCCCACCGTGACTGGAGCTGGCTGCTGTCTAACACGGTGCAGAGGACGCTCGTGCAGGCGTCCTGGTAGTGAGCCCTGCTGCCGGGGAAAGAAACTGCCATTGCTGAAAGCCACTGTCATTCCAGTTCTGGGTCAGAGCCTTTGCTTTCGGGAATGTTAGTTAATGATATTAAAAGGGTTCAATTTTGCCCAATTATGCAGAGAAGATAAAACAAGGCATTGCACGTGACATATCTCTAGTTCACCCTGATCTCACATTCATGCTGCTTTCCTTCCTGAGTTATATACTCATGCTTCATGCCCAAGAGGCAGCAGCCCTGGGTTTTTAGCAGGTCAGAGAAAGCCCACACCGCACATGCATGGCCATAGACCAGGGGTCCTCAAACTTTTTAAACAGGGGGCCAGTTCACTGTCCCTCAGACCATGGGAGGGCCAGACTATAGTTTAAAAAAAACTATGAACAAATTCCTATGCACACTGCACATATCTTATTTTGAAGTAAAAAAAACAAAAAACAAATGGGCAAAAACACCCGCATGTGGCCCATGGGCCGTAGTTTGAGGACACCTGCCATAGACACTATCCATTATGCTCAGAGTCAAAGTCACATTATGATGACCCTTTGGTTTCTGCACATAATGGAAATCAGGGCAGTGCTCTGTTGGAAATGGTGCTTGACTAACAGCTCTCTGGGCTTCTCCTCCACCCACCATTTCTTGCAGGAGCCCTGTGAGCCTCACTGCCCGGTCAGTGCCTTCCCTTTGGTTACAGTAGCCCTGAATTTCCTCGGAAGGAAGCTGGAAGCCTCCCTTCAGTCCAGAAAGTCTGCCTCTCTCAGGGCCAAAGTGGGGGCTTGGGGCCCAAGGGCACCCAGAATTTGAGGCTTTCAGTTGGCATGTGGGTCTACCTGGGGCTGCTGGAATAGTTTAGTCTGCAGCACAATACTGCGTACTGACCTTAAAGGATGTTTTTTACATAAATTTTTTAGCAGAAAACATAAATAAATAACAGCAAGGCACAGCACAGTCACTCTTTGAAGAAACCAAGTGGAACTCATTAATCACAGAGAGCAGGGCTCTGCCTGCTGAACCCAGGGATGGAATTAACTCCTGTGCCTCAGCTGCCACAGCTCGGGGGAGATGCCACTTAGAGCCAGGCCCGTATTCTCCACAAGCTGGCGGTTTAAAAAAACATCCTGTAGAAACACTCCCTGAGCTTAACATTCCCTCCAGCTAAAAGTGCCCGGAGTCTTCTCTTGCAAGCGCCACGCCCGCCGTAGAGAAGGAGAGCTGGGCAGGGAGGTTGTGTGTCTTGGGCAACCATGGCCAAGGGATCTACCTCTAGGAGGCCCGCTAGTTTCAGCTGCCCTTCCAAGTAGGGACGGGTTCATTTAAATAGGCAAACCTCAGCCATTTACAGCAGCTACTAAAGTGAAAATAGACACACATTTGACCCAAAATTCTATCCTGGGAAAACATGTGCTCGAAGAGGCAACTTCAAGGATGTTCACTACAGTATTGTTTATAATGGTAAAAATAGGCACAACTTGAATGCCCCCTGGTAGACTCTGGCATGTCAGCACAGTATGGAATGCTACACCACAGCTAAAGGGGATGGGGTGAATCTGTTGGTATGTGCTGGATTATCCTGGAGATGTTGTCAAATGGAAAGTAGCAAGTTGTCCAATAAAGCGAGCAAACACTATGATACCACTTACACAAAACAACACAAAACTCCAGCTGAACCAAACCACATAATTTGACGTGAACATACATGTTTGTAAAGGTATAAGACAAGGCCTGGAAATGTATTCCTCAAACCACCTCTCGTGGTTACCTCTGGGGAGGAGCGTGGGATTGGTCAATGATGAAATGGGCTTTCTGCTTTTCTCGTATTATAGCACTTTTGGAGAATGTAGTCACGTATAACTTTTAAGTTAAAAAAAAAAGAAATCCCGCCAGTTCCAACCCTAATATCTCCCCACCCCCAACAACCTCTGTCAGTATCAATTACCACTCTGGCAACCAGTCTCTGAGAAAAGGTGTTTTCCCACCGGACATCCAGCCCTGTTCCCAGCTCCTCTATCGGTGGCCCTTCAAATGGCCTTTCCTATTTCTTGGTCAATGTATGTTGGACTCTCAGTTTTTTGGGACTTTCAGAGGCCGAGGACAGAGAAGCCCAAGGGCAATTGCTTTACCCGGAAGAGAGGAGGTGTTTCTGGGTCTGCCACCCACTGGGCTTGCTGCGAGAATGGCTTCTGTGGGTTGCCCTGAAGCGCCTAGGTTCTCTGTTCTGCACTGTACTAACTGGGTTCTGCTCTTCGGTGATTTCCCAAATCTTGTCTCTCTCCAGTGCTTAGGTTTGGGACCAAACACAACACCCGCAAGCAGTTGGTGCAAACATGCTCTGGCTGAGGTCTGGGGCCTGACGCCTGCGAAGAGTGCACGTTTCTGGTTGTATCTGCCCTCCACACACACTCTGTGCACCTCAGCTACCTCGGGCTTAATTAAATGCTACACGACTCCTAGCTTCTAATGTATTTATATAAGGTGATTCTTTTCCCTGCTGATTGTAAGATCATCAGCTGGCGTTCCCCTCTCCCCTCCTTCTTCTCTGGTTGGGTTTGTTTTGTGTTTTCTTTGGGCTGTCACTGAAGTGGATGAAAGGCAAATTACAGCTGTGAGAGCCCCAGTGATCTGCACAATTAAAGAGAAAAAACAAGCCCGCACCTACAGATCTGCAGTTTGGCTCAGATGTGGCGCCTACAACGCAGGCAAATCAAAACTCCAGAACAAAGCTCTTTTCATCACAGATTACAGAAAGGCCACAGCGTTTGCACAAAACAACCGAAGAGGAAATGAGGAGGGCTGAGGAAAGGAGACCTCGTGCCACATAAGCGTGGATGGGCTTCGGTTATGTGGGCTAGGACCAAGTGGCTGAAGCAAGAACGCACATTTAGATCATGAGAAAGGACCAGGTAGGAGCAGAAACAGACCATCTTGGGCTTTGACCTCTGGCATTTATGATCCATGGAAGTGCAATTTCTGTAACATGTACGCTTGTGCTAAGTCTGAACACCACACTGAGGAATGTTTGCTGTCATCGTGCTGTGTCTGACGGTCTAAGATTGGTGCTCTGGCAGTTTTTGCCCCTTTGTGGGTAGAAAGTACTCCTAAAATAAGCGTTGGGACTAGGAAAAAGGTGGAAAAATTCCCAAACATGGCTCCCCAAACAGCCATGCTAACAAAGTGTAAGATGGCTAATGTAGTTCCATCTGGCAAATTTGGTCCAAGGTCAGCTCAAGAAAATGTTGACTGAGCCTGGGTCTTTGTTTGAAATAAACACTTTGGAGATGTTTTCATTTTATTCTTTACTAATGGGAACAAACGGCTTTCAGGAAAGCCAAATGTTATTTAGACAAAACGTGTAATTGAGCTTGCCATTGGGGGAACAAACAATGCTCTAATCATGGATATTCTACTCTATTCTCCAGAGAACAGAGAGCGACATCTATGCTGAACCATCTGCACTAACAGAGCTTCCTGTGAGATCTGAATGCCAGAAGCCTGTCTCCTTTCAGCATCACTTGGATAAGGTTTTACAGCTGTAAAAAGCACTCCTTCCTGGATCTAGGTTTGGATTGGAAGAAAAGCAGGAATAGGGTCCTATGAACATATGCCTTTTCTTAGGACCTTTAAGAAGGGTTCTTGGGGCCCTGAGGTAGGCTCCTGGGTCGATGCAAGGCTCCCGATACAGCCTGTGAATGGGGGTAGTGGAAAATCTTTCTAGTACCTCTTCTTGACCACTACCTAGAAAACTGAATTGCTGGGAGGTTGTCTTCCCTAGATTCCCCCCCCCCCCCTAATCTCCCTCTGGTAGAAATATTTTATATAACTAGATCACTAACTACCCAAAGAGGAGGGCCAAAGAAAAATCCTCATCAAAACAGATCAGGCTGTTTGAGTAAGTTTCCCCAAGTGCCTTTCCTTGAAGTTTTTATAGGATTGTTCCTTTTTATAAAATGTTCCACTCTGATAGTTCCAGGTCCACAGTCATCAAACAATTATCTTCATTACCTGCTCAAAACGAAGTCTAGAACATCTCTGAGCCCTGAGCATGTGACATATTCCTGTGAGGTCTGGGAAAGCTCTCCTAAGTCGGAGATCCACGTCCCCGTGGGGGCACTGCTCTGATAGGTGAGGGGTAAGATGTCACCGCCACTTCTCCAAAGGAAGTACTCTGTCTCTGCAGAGCTGAGTACATGATTCAGCTTAGCTGGTCCCACTCCCCCTGGGGCCCTTTGAAAGTAGAATCCAATCTCCAGGGATTTGCCATCAAGAGAAATTTTGTGGAATCTCATTTAGCAATTTAGCACTTAGCAACGTTTGCAAAATCCCACGCCAATCATAAAAGTTGGCTCAGCTGCACAAATTGGATAAAAATCCTAACAAGCAGTAATAAAAATAAAAAGAAGGAAAAGCTGGCATTCTGCCTCAAGGAGGAAACCCACCTACCTCCCACAGAAATGCCCTGTAGCTCAGAGGCGATGTGTAAACTTTGGAAACATCAATTTGTTCAAAGCCTACATTTCAACTTTGTTCTCACAGGCAAAGGGAAAAAAAAGCCCAGATGTTTGTATAAAAATATCATCATTTTATTACATTCCACACAATACATTTTCAAATAGTTTCCAACGTCCACAAGTTATTTTGACACACAGGCAACTGAGCAATGCAAGGATGTCACAGTAGTAGGGAGAGGGATAAGAATAGGAAGTAAAAATCTTTAGGTTTTCTTGTTTTGTTGTTGTTCTTTGGTAATTTTCGATTATTTAGGTGTTTGCCTGCTCATTTCATGTGAAAGACAGGGTCTTTTTAGAGATGGGTTATCAACCTCAGAATTTTACTGGATTTCCTATTCAATTCTGGCTTTAATCCCAAAAATGTGAAACAAGGGAAAAGACAATTTTACTTTATCTTCAGCATCCTGTTTTGTCAATGGCAATGCTATGGGTTTTTTTTCTTTTCTTTTTCTGCCTTTGCCAGCAATTAGATGATGGTAATTGCTAGCTTAACATCAAGAACGGGATTTTCACCCCAGAGATAAGGGCTTCCCTCCTGAAGGTGTTGACATGAAACCTCTAATAAGGCAAAAGCTTTATCAGCCCCAGCTAGGCCTTCAAGTCATTCATTCGTCCATTCATATTTTAGTAGTTGCTATCACCTCATTGTCTTTTGAGAAGCAACTCAAACACATGCATGCATGCATTCACCTGCCCCGTCTATTTTTCTTAGAGGAGAGTGACTCTTCCCTCCCTTCATGAAATACAGAATTTTGTTTTTTAAAGCTGCAAAGCATGGCATTTTACAGAAGAACTGTCCTTTTAGCACAGTACCTGGATAGAACATTGCTGGGGTGGGGTGGGGGTGGACAGAGGAGGCAGAGAGAAAGAGAGAGAGAGAGACAGACAGACAGACAGACATCCCCAGCTGAAGTGTGTCATGGAATTCACAAGGACTTGAGCAGTCTCAAATTCTCAACTATGGCATGTACATAAGGATGATGCCACAGGGGGCATCAGATAAAGATGCAGACAGTTCACAAAGTTGTTGTCATCTTCTTTTAAAGAAGGGGAAACCTCAAGGGTATCTGGTGACTCAGCCAGTCGCCACACTGGCTAGATTTTCCAGGTGTAATTTCTTGATGCCACACCTTCAAGGGGCACCCGCAGGGATGCCAGTCATTCTGTGGGAATGTGGACAGCTGAGATAAAACCTTAGTGACTGGCATGCTGGTCATCACATGGCACCCTGGGCTGCTGGCCTCCCCCACCCCCGCTTCTTTCTCCATCTTCAGCTGGGGGGGGGCACTCCTTGAAATGTCAAGGTAGCGCATGCTCTAGCCTTTCATCTTTTCTTTTCTTGGCAGGGCTGCTGTGGTCGAGACAGAGTAGCTCTTTGAAACAGAATAAGAGTGGGAGAGCACTGTTCTTTCAGGAGGATGAAACGAACCAGATGAGAAAGCTGAGTGTGTGTGCTAGAGGGGCCTATCTGGATATTCCGAAAGAATGCTAAAAGTCTCTCTCCCAAGCAGCCAAAAGAAAAAAAAAATCATTAGTATTTTGTTCTCAGAAGGTACCTGGAGGCTTCCCACCCAGGCAGCCATCTTTGGAGAGAATGCCATGCCTCCCCAGTGGATTCCTAGCAGGAAGGTGAAAAACTCCCCCAAGGCTGAGTCCTAGCACGCTGAGAATCTTAAAATATGCATTTTCTGTCAATGAAACTGACTTCATTATTTAATCCATGCTTTCTACAGTATCATTAGCAATTTCTCTCTTACATCCCTCTCCTTGAGTTGCTCAGGGAGGACAGATGAGGAGCGGTGGGCATAGCTTCCTCACACCTTCTCTGGCGATGCGGCAACACCTGCGCAGGCCAGGCCAGCCTGCAAGCTCTGTTCGCCATGTGCCACGAATGCTTCAAGGGGTAGCACACTGGCACACTTAGAGCACGATTACTGTCTATTCTCTCATAATATTTAAACAAGTCAGGTGGGCAGCCATACATGTTAGTGGCTATAGACTCAGCACACATTAACACCATGAAACGAAAGCAAATGATCCCTCTTCCCCTCCGTATTTTACAAATGCTATTACAATACCCACATAATACCAAAGAATACGGTTTTCAGCCTTCTCCCTCAACCCCAGCCCGAGATGGGCCCAACGAACCCCCCACCCCTGGGGTGAGGAGACAACATTTCAGTTCTTCCTGCTCTTCCCTTCTCTCGTTCAACTTCTCCTTCTGCTCTCAACTGAAACAGACTTCCGCTTTTCCTACACCTGTCCCAGATTCGTTATTCTCTATGACTTATTCCAAGATTGGACTTAACTGATAAAAGCTAAACATTCATTATGAGCTTCTCTTTTATAAGGCAACATGAGACAGATTTGCTTCGGGGCTGGAAGGAGAGGTGGCTCCACTCACACCCAATGGCTGTTGTCTTGATGCTTCAAAGAGGCCGGGAGACGTGACAAGGGGTCACATCTGAGGGTGCTGCAGAAACGTCCTCGTGGGCTGGGTGGGTTGGGGGTGGGGATAGGGACGGGGGAGGCCACATTGCATTCCATATGGCCTCTATTTATTTTAGGTACCTGGAGATGACAATGACAGCCAACAGAAACCCAGCCAGAGCTAGATAAGGCAACAAAAAGCTTCAATCTCTTCTCCAAGTAAACAAAACTTGTACAGTATATTATTTTCTTGTAAAATGTACCCCAGGAGAAGTAACACAAGAGTTAAAGGGGCCCTGTCTGGACACACCCACACACTCCCCCACACAATGAGCCAGTCTCTCTCTCACACACCCACACACACAGCGCTCTCCTCACGTGCAAATGTGTACTATGTACAGACACACAGATCCAGGTTTCCCCTCAAGTCTCCTGGCAGACTGCCCACCGAGAGGAGGTTGGGATAAGGCAAGGGGGAAAAACAAGAGAACCAGTCTCTGGAACAAACCAGCGGAGCCTTGGGTGGTGAAGTGCTTAGGGGTGGGTCTCTTCTTCTATTCCAAGATGCAGCATTAGAATTGGGTTTTGTTGGTTTGGAATCAACAAAAAGAACCAAAGGGAAAAGAAAAAAATGAAAAAAACAAAATGAACCCAAGGGGGATGGTTGGGATGGCTAAGAGTGCCCAGGGTTGGGGACCCAGGAGAGAGATGTCTGAGAGTTCACAACAGAGACTAGGCGAGGAGGAAAAAGTGCAAAATTGAGGCAACGTGTTTGCAGTCTTTCTTGTTTGTTTTGGCTGCTGTTCTTGCTTCAGCCCTCAGCAGCCCGAGCCGCGGTCTTGCTCTAGCTTAATGGTTAGGGTGGGCTCCACCGCCAGAGGGGCCCCGTTGGTGTAGTGGGAGGTTTTGTAGGTGATGGAGTGATCGGTCTTCTTGGCCGCATAGCGGAACCGGTGGTAGTGGAGCACCAGGGCCAGCACGACGGAGACCAGCACCAGCACGGCGCCCCCGGCGGCCATTACGTAATACCAGTAGGCTGGGATGGGCTGCACGGGCACCGTGTCCACTGTGGGCTCGGTCCCTGGCGGGAGGGTGCCCCCTGGTGGAGAGACACAGAAGAGTGTTGCTAGGCTGAGAGCATGCAGACGGACCCCAAACTTAATTTTAAAAAGAGAAAGAAACACACACATGCTTTGGGACACACAGGGAAGGGGATGCGCTAAGGTGGTACTCAGTCCCTAGCGCGTGCCAAGCACTTTTCAACGGTTGCTGTTAGTTCCTGCTCACCCTCTTATGAGGTAGATACTGTCAGACCCATTTTACAGATGTGGAAACAGAGACTCAGAGAGGTTACATTGACAGTGGTTACACAGCTAGTAAGTAGTAAGCAGGGGATTCAGCCAAGAGCTGTATGAGTACAATCTCTCTTCCTTCTGTTTAACCAAAATGACTTTATAATATAGAGAAATGTTATAGTTTTTTCTCTCTCTCTCTCTCTCACACACACACACACACACACACACACACACACACGCACACACATGCCTGAGTACACACAAGTAAATGATGTTGAAATGACTTCTGGGATTCAGAAAGGCAGATTCCCCGAATGGGTGGAAATACCATATTTGGTTTGGCTGGCCAGCATTCTCACACAATGTATTAATTAGGCTGGCGAGACTTGAAGGTAAATTCCACTTTGGCTTGCCAAGGCTTCTGTGCCCATTGAAATCAGCCTGGTCTTGTCTAAACAGGTCAATTACCACTGTCAGGTCATGACTAATGCGTCTTCATTCTTTTAATTGGATAGAGGATCTTTAAGAGCAGATTGGAAGGGAAGTTGCAACAAAAAATGTGGGCACGAAATGACAGAAGGTATGTGAGAGTGAGAGTGAGAGAGTAAGTGAGCGAAAAGGGAGGGAAATCATTCTTAATCATGGAAAAGACAGAGCAGGGAGGAGCAGCTAGCAGAGTATTGAGAAGGCAACCACGTTCGCTGGCCGCTGCTGGTTGCCATGGCGATGATGTAGTAGATTTAAGCCCAGGGTAACTCTGGGGAAAGACTGGCTGGAGTCCCACTTGATGCAAAGCAGTGTTACAACTTGATTCTCCCAAAGATTTACATCAGATGAGAATCTGGACCAGAAAAGGACTAGGAGCTTTTGAGCTTGCCAAAACCAGACATGATCTTTACTTCTAAAAAAATGATGTATGCTTTGCCTATGAAAAATGCTTCCCTAGCTGCTTGCATCAGGTGGTGGTAGCCAGAAAGATGCGTCCTCTTTAATCATGGGGGTGGAGCCCCGGTGGGAGGGGCCGGTGCCTCCTTCACCCACCGGTGGTCCTGCTGCGGGTTCGGTGGTCCTGCTGCGGGTTCGGTGGTCCTGCTGTGGCTTCGGTGGTCCTGCTGTGGGTTCGCCTCTGCGCAAGACGCAGACAGGCGTTTTCATGCCGCCCCTCCCCACTGACCCCAGCCCCCACCCAGACTCAGAGCTCCTCCAGCAGAGGATCTCGCTCTCATCCATGCCTGAGGGTGGACACAAAGAAGGCACTCACTAAATGCTCGGTGAATAGAACACTGAACTAAGGCTAAGACTCCTGTATGTGAGTCAGCGTTCTCTAATTCCTACAGCATGAACATCAGAACTCCTCTCTTTGACTTGGGGAATAGCTGAGAGGTGGATCAGGCCTTCTAGTGTCTTCTCAGAAGTGACAGAAAAATGAGAGCATTTTCTTTTTTTAATCTTTCACAGCCTGCCCAATTTCCTGGCTCTTAATTACTGCTTCCTCCAGTTTTAGGAATTCCCCTCCACTAAGGTACAAGTTCATCGGTACCTCAGGGCGATCAGAAGTCCTACAATACTGGAAGAGCTTTGATGAGGATGTGTAGCTCTGCACACACCCTGACAGCCACATCCACAGCTCCTGGGGCAGAAAGGACCCAGAATCCCAGGATCCCCCCAAATGCACCTTTCTACATCTTCACCACCTCCCACGTTACTGCCTACTCTCTTTTTCTTTGTCCCCAAACTGTTTCTACCTTTTACTGACAAGAAGACCCTCTGTCCCTCTTTCCCTCTGTTTTATTTGTGGCCATATTAGATATTATGCATAGACACAGAAAAGAAGAGAAAGCAAGGAGCTGGACACGGCTCCTTAAAATGTCTAGCTTGCGAGTCACAGTGAACCTGGTATCAACTCATTATTCAGGTCACCAAGAGTACCTGCTGCCTGGCAACCATCTTGCTGTTGGATTTCATGTGAGCTTATAAGAAAGCACAGCAAACACTAACGCGTGCAGGATGGGCCTGAAGTTTCTCAGTGCCGGCCCTCTTCTCCCCCCAGGGCGTGCTGGGATTTGCCGCCATGGGGAGGGCCATCCTCTAAGGAGGCCTTGGCTCCCCCATCAGAGAAAAGGAAGGCGAGAAATCCATGTGCATTAACTTTCCATCCAAAGCACCCGACCAGACCACAAAGGCCGGAGCACACATTTTTATCAGCAGAACACAACCACAACTACCCACATTCCCTCCATCACCACATAGCCTCCGTTCAAAGCATTGTTTTCCTTCAGCCAAAATGCTGGTTTCCAACATTGAACACACCACCTAGGACTTAAAGTACTGGGGCTGGGGGTGGAGGGAGTGTTAATGCTACTCCAAGTGCTTCTTGTGATAGAGACAAAGTTGGGGCACAAGGAGGAGACCTAGGGGACTGGCTAGAGGAAGGTTAAGGCATAATATGTGGGTCCCGTATTCAGAACCTGAGAGAGACCCATTCCCTAAGAATTTTGCTCTACTTTGAAAGACAAATTCCACTTTAGCATAACACCCTCTTCCCCTTTCATAGCTTTGCTCCCCAACCCTGATATTATCAACATGCAGTAAACTTAAGTGATAAAAGCCATCTGGGGACATTATATCAGCTCCTTAAACATTTCCCTTGGGCATTCCTTTGGAGAAATGAGGAAGCTATGTGAATTGATGCTTTCAATGTGAAGTTGGTTAGAAAAGAGAGGATACAACTGAAAACCCTTTCCTTATCCCCAAAAGCAATTTTTAGTTGACTTACAATCGGGGGCCAGAAGTTTCTCAGAACATTCTCTGGCTAAAGAGATGCAATTCCCAAAGGCAGGTGGATTGGGCAGGTTTGGAATCTGGCTATGTCCCAGCCTTGAGGGCTATATACTAATGAGGCTGTGGTTTGCCAGTTAGAGAAAAGGAAGGTGATAAATCAATAGAGGTTAGAGCTTCCCAGACAACAGCAGCAATCCAGTGATGCTAAATGGATGGCTGGGAGGACAGATGGATGGATAGGATAGATAGATGGATGGAGGAATGCATTCTGGACCAATACTCAGACTGTCTGGAAAATGTTGATAACCCACTGGTACTTCATGGAAAAGTTGTATTCAGAAAGTGCTAGAGATTTTGCTAGCTCATACAGTGCTTCTATGGGGAATTAGAAAAGGTGCCTGCTTCAGGCAGATGACACCTGTACCTGATGCCCAGGTTGGCGACTTGCACAATTTTAGCTCCACTTGCCCCATCAGCCACGTACGGTGGCCAGGCCATTGCTTTACAACAAAGAAGCCTGGGCTAGGTCCCTCAACGTGGGAAAAAGAGCAAAGGTGAGAATTCAACCTTGCCCAAAGCTGGTAATGTGCTGACCTGAACTTTCCCTTTGATTGATCTAAATTCTACTGCTTATTCACATATCTTTGTTTTTCTCCCAATGGGAAAATGCTTTCAATTCCTGAACTATTTTTCATTAATTTCCAGCCCCCCCCCCAATTCTCTACAAGGTTTTCCCATTGTGCGAGATAATGAGAAACAGATATTTAAATAGTCAATAACTCCAAGTGTACTTGCAAGGTTGAGCAGGCTCCCATCTGTAAAAGTTCTGAGCTCTCTGGAGGAAAGCAATGCGAACACAAAGAATTTGAATTCTGAGAAACAATAAATTCTGAGAAGCCGCACATGGGAGAAAATAATGAAAAAAATGACACATTAGGTAGTGTTCCTTCCAGTCCTATTGGCAAATGGGGCTATTGAATTAATAAGCAACCAGGAAGTGTGGTTGTAAGAGTAACTGCCATGAGTGGGCATTTCCTGTGTGTTAGGCAATGGTCTATAGGCTTCGCATGAATCATCTTGTTTATTTCCTCATGACCCTGAGATGGGAAGACTTGAGGACTTGAGAGGATAAGTGATTTTTCTCCTGGTTTTACTTAGAGGAAACCTGAGGAAGGCAGAGCACACAGTGAAACCTAAGAGATGGCCCAGAGCCCTCAGAGGAATAATTGTACACCACCAGTAAGTGGCAGAGTCAGAAGTGGAACCTGGTGGACTAATTCTTAGCCTGTGCCCTAACCAAGGGGTCAGCTCACTATGCCCTATGTGTCAAATCTGGCCCACTACCTGTTTTTGTAAATAAAGTTTTATTGGAACGCAGCTGCCCTCATTTGTTTACATATTGTCTATGGCTGCTTTGTGCCATGATGGCAGAGCTAAGTACTTAGTAATGTACCTGTATGTCCTGTAAAGCCTAAAATATTTACTATCTGGCCTTTTATAGAACAGGTTTGCAGACCCCTCACTCCAACCAAGCAGAGTGGAGCAGGAAGCAGCTCTCTGCCTTTCTGCCTCCCTCCCACTCTGTCTGAACCTGTCTGAGGTTTGGCATGTCTCGGTCAAGTCAGGTTCTCACGGAATCACTGAAAAGAGAAAGCATCTCCTACAGCTACATTTACGAAATGCCACCTAGACCTGAAGGAGTCACTCAGGTTTCCAAAAGAAGTGTTGAAGTGTTCCAAAAGACCAGTGGTGAGCCTTCTCGCTCGGAAAAAGAAGAAAGAGAAAAAGGCTCATTGCGCAAGAACTGTTTCAGGCCTGGCTTGTAGGCGCACTCTTTTTTGTACAGGTTGAAAATGAAGTGCCGCTGAAGGGGCATTTCAGATAAAGGTTTGTTTAAGTTATGAGATTAAACAAACAAACAAAAAAAGGTTGGCTCCTCTAGAGAAGTTTATAGAAGATAGTAGAAAAATGCAGTCATGCTCTTGGATTTGTTTGGAATAAAGATATAAAAGTACAAAGCACCCCTGAGAAATGACTCTTTCCATGTGCCTTACGAGCAGTGGATGGTGGGAGGGCTGCTGGGAGGTTTTCGGTAAGTTGGCAGAACCGTGGGGATCCCTCCCACGTCGATCTAAAACGCCTCTGAATTCAGATCTCTAGCTGGCTGAAGTCTCGGACACTTTGCAACTTTTTAGTGACACGTTACTTTCTTTAAACTAAGTCTCCTCCTTTGTATTCTTGGAGAAAGAGGTTGGTGAAAACACTGTCTTCCTCCCCTAGATAAAGTGACCTCGGCAGCTGTTGAGATTAATGGTAAACTTGCGGGGAGGGGACGTGCCAGTCCTCTGTGGCAGGAGAGGCAGCCGGCACAAGTGAACCTCACAAAGAGAGCCTCCGTGCCCCCCTGGGCAAGGATGGCAGCCAAGCAGTTACCCGGTTCAAACATCTGATTGCCACGCTTTCCCGCTCAGCAACACCTAGCTGGATCTGGCAGCTGGAGGCGTGGGGGGGGGGCAGGGACAAGGAGGAGGATTCGCACACCACAGCTGCCTATCTGGAGCCCTGGCAGGGAACACTTCCCTCCCTCTCCCCGGAGGAGCACGTTCAGGAACTCCGTTTAACCCTCTCACATCTCAGAAGCGCTTCTAGCAGAGAGAGCCGTGGGAGGAAGGGCACCCATGGAGAAAGGGAATCTGAGGCCAAGCCCAAGCCCTGAGCCCTGGGATGGGGGACCTGACACTGGTGGACCATGCCTCTGGGACGGGAAAGCAGAGATGGGGGTGTGAAAAGGCACAACTGGCCAGGTGGCACCATACAGACAGAGCTTAAAGCCTGAGGCATGCAGTCAAATGCCAGCCAGCACTGGCCCCAAATGGGCCTCTCTTCAGACTATTCCCTCCATGCCCAAGAGACGGCCTTTGACGTTGACTTTCTCCTGGTTTTACGTGGATGAAAACTGCAAAGGGCTGCAGTGAAACCCAAGAGATGGGGCCCCTGGCACTTAGAAATGGTCTGAGACGTAAAATCCACGTTCACAGCCATTAACAGGAGATACTGATGTTGCTCTCAGCATCCATTAGTGTTCAGACAGCAGTTCTGAATCCTCCTTCCAACGCCCACCTTCCGCAGGTGTCCCTGCCTGGGATCTCCATGGGTCTCTCTAACAGGTAGGGCGCCAGACCCAGTCTCTCTGCTCCTGCTTTGTTCGAAGCCCACAGCCTCCAACATGAACAAAAACTCTTGCCTCCACGGTGAGCTGCTAAAAATACATACCTGGCCAACAACTACAGAACTCTGATTATGGGTTTTAAATATTTTTACTGGCTTCTTTATTATTCTTTTTCCTTTTATTGAAAAAAAGCAAGTATTGGGTAAGAGGAAATAATCCATCACCTTAATTATACCACTTTTCGGTTCTTTTTTTTTCCTCCCCTTACCTATACACACAGTTTTTCATTTGTTAAAGCTCAAATCCTAGAAAAAGATACATGACGGCACCATGTTTATAGCCACTGCTTTAAAAAAGAAAAGAAAAAAATGCACACCCAGGCTGCATTGTTTAAAACGTGACTCATAACAACAACAAAAAGAGGTCCTTTTAAAAGTCACATGACAACACAGTTTATTCATTCTCTCTTCTCTGTCTCCCTTCTCAAAACAGTCCACTTTTTCTGCACAGCGTCCCTTCATTACTGACTCACACCCTGGTACACAACCTAAGTATATATACTAAGCAGAAAACACAGGGTGATTGAAATAAAAAGAAAATGTTGCATGGCAAGAAATCAATAAGAGTCAGAAAGTGAAAGACACTTCAAAATATAAGAGATCAAGAATACCTAATAAGTCCAGGTCTAAAGGCCACTTTTATTGCATTTCCCTAAAGATTTACCTAGGATACATTGATCTCTCCTAAAGAATGAGATTATTTCTGTTGCATGGTCAATTTATAATGGAAAAGAAAAACAACCCCATTTCAAAAAACATACTAACAATGTAAGTGCCTATTGTTAATAGTGTTTCAGCATCAAGTTTCCATAGCTTGCCTGCCCAAACCTGATTTCTCTGTTTCCTTTTTTTTTTTGGGGGGGGGTGGTGGTGGTGAAAAGGCTGATTTTATGGCCTGACCCAGAGAGGGCTCCTGCTGTGTCCTGGCCTGGTGAGAAATAGAATGAGTCACTAGGTTAGATGGAACATACGTCCTCTCCCAGATGGAAAAGTCTGGTGGGGTCAAGACACAGAGCTGCACGCTGAGGTCACACAGGTCTCAGCCGGGAAGAGGAGACCCCTGGTGCTAGGTTCTCCGGCTACTCACTCGGAGCTCCATGGAAAACGCGCCAGTGTGGTGGCAACTGCCCATTCCCAATTCCGATTCTGCTCTCGACTCTGTGTTCCTGGGCCAAGTCTCTCCAAGACTTGGTTTCCTCCTTCCAAAGATGCTTGCCATTTTCCGAGACAACAGCCACGGCCAATCTGGCCGGTCCGTACAACTTGCGCGCGCTGCCTCTGCTTCAGCCTCAGAGTGGCCCACCGGGAGCGCACTGGAAATTCTTACCTTCAAGTCACTAAGCCCTGTGTTTATTTTGGCTAAATGAGCACTGCCGCTCCGATGAGATTTTATTTATGTATTTTTTTACAAGAGAACACGACTGCACTGCGAAGCCTCATGGAAAGCACAGCTTCAAGGAGCGAGCACGTGCCCTGGCCTGTTTATCCTCTTACGGAAGCGGAGCACTTAGCCACTGTGCCTGTCAGTCACGACCCGACATGGCGCACACAGAACGGTGTCTGCGGCAGCTGCCGGCACGTCCTTCACCAGCCTTTCTGGGAGTTCTGAGTCTCAACAACCCGAAGAGAGTCAGGTGAAACAACACAAGCAGGCTTCACTTCACCAACATAAGCATTACCTGGGGTCCTGAAGGTTAGAACTTGAATTCGACTTAATCCAAGTCGTTCGGTTTGGATCTCAGCTTTCCTTCCAATGTTTTGGATTTGCATGAACATAAATCTCACACCCAGAGAGCACCCGTGTGGGTATGTGAATGCTCTTACTAATATAAACTGTTGGATGGGGAGTGGGCACGGGGGTCAGGGAGGCAAGGAAGGGTAAGAAAGAAAACACATTCTATGTCGGGCTGTCATTCTCTCTGTTCTGCAGCTTTGCTCCTCAGGGACTGCTTTAGAGCGGTGGATGGTGAGTAGCAAATTAGAAAAGGTGATTTGGAGCCAGGGAGCACATCTAGATGGCAAACTAGGAATTCATCTTTCTCTAGCCGGGAGCTGGACAGATTAATGAGAATGAAGATAGCCAGTCTAGACGTCAGATATGAAAATGGCGGCCCTTATCTCTGAAATGCTGTCACCCACAGGGTTAAGCCTGGCCAGGACAGACAGCGCACAGCAACCCTCACAATTGTTGGCATCAACCAGGTCATGAACAGCCCTGGTCCTTAGGTGAGGGTGAGAGTCCCCCAGTGTGTTTTCATGCAGGCCAACTGCAGCGAGGCATTCAGAGTGGCTCCTAAATGTTTAGCTTTGGAAACCTGCGTGGGAACCTCAGCAGTGTCAACTAACTGGATTGCAAAGATGGCAAAATGTAAAACCCACTGTATTATAACAGCACAAACATTACTATCATCCAAGGTTGGAGGCCTTTTTTTTTTTTTTAATTCCTGGGTGAGGCAAGCATCCCAACTTATTCTCTTTTTGTTCTGTTTTCTATTTACTTTCTTAGAGAAAGCATATCCTTTTCTGTTTTTCAATCCCGCATTTAAAGTGCTCTAACTCCAGCCACCGAATGCAATTCCGGACTCCTTTTACCAGACACCAGCTCCTGAATTTGGCAACTCTCCCTCCTTATGACTGTGTCTCTTCCCTAACTCTCTTCCCTCACAAGACTGCCTGCCACTGTCCCTCTCCGAGGGTTAATTGAGACCGCTGCCTTGGTACCCTGGAACTGGAAAGAAACCATCTTCAGGCTAAAATAAATCATTGCCACCTCATTTCACTTTTAATTTACAACTATTTTTTTTTTTTATGGTTCAGTCTTCCCACAGACTCTCCTTTCTCACCACTCCTGCATTTTCAGCCTCATTGCTCCCCGTTGGACAATGCAAGGCTGAAAGGTTTATCTGTAACCTATTTGTCTCTATTGTAGGTTTCTAAACTTTAATTAAACAAGAGACAGTGAGGATCTCAATCCGGTTGCCTGCATCTACAGGTGTTGCTAGTGCCATCTAGCGGTGGGAAGATGCAGCGTCTGTATTTTCCCGAGAAATTTGCCAACTTTAGAGGTTTATTCCCATCACCAAATTCACATCACACAGGGAAAGGAAAATGCATGCAAAAAAAAAAAAATTTTTTTTTTTACCTTTAAAATTCTCACCTGTGAAAGCTGAGATGGGTTCTGGGGGAAAAAGAAACAAAAAAAATTTGAGTTAGATACAGGGAAGAAATAATTGAGTAAACAGGGTGAAAATTGGATGAACGTGATGATGAAGAGGACCTCATTAGGTTTTTTTCTGTAACAGTCCACGGAAAATGCCCCACATCCTCCACATGTTCTAAACTGTGTCTCACACATCATCATCGCGGGGCTGAGGTAGGTGGGGGAGATTCTCAAAAGTTGCTTTGGAACAAAAAGTCCTTCATAGAGTAATGGGTCCCCAAAGCATTGTAATCAGTCACTTACCACTGATTACTTTCTCAGAGCTGGGATTACTTTAGAAGCCCGGGTCCTGAGAGCTGCCCGAAGGGACGGGGGCAGTCCCAGGTGCTTCTGATGTCACCAGGCACAACCCCCCCCCCCCACCCACACACACACACTCGTGTGCCAAGAAAAGCACTTGGTGAGTTATTACGGCCCCTCTGCCGGCTGCAGGCCGGTCCCACTTTCTCAGGATTGCCCTCTTGCTTTGGGGGATGTCTATGGCTCTGATGGGACATGGTCAGGGTGCCCCTGGGGTGACCTCTTCTGCCGGGGGAGGCCCTGAGTAAAATGTGCGCATCTCAGCTGGGCTGTCTGCTGAGCACTTCTGACCAAAGTGACAGTTATGGTATCCCTCCCGTGCTGGTCACCTGGCCTGCACTGTTTAATCCTACAATGACTCTGGGACCTTGGGCATTAGAGATATTAGTTTTAAAGTAAAGTCTGAAATCTTTGTTTTTCATATGCCATAGTTTGCTCTGCAATTCATTCATGTAAAAGAACTACTTGGGTAATTGTGTTATCACTCTGCTACGACTTATATACTATTTTTGCTTATCAGTGAAGGCTTCCATTAAATCCATCCAAACTTTCCAGCATGTAATCTTGACTGGCAGTTGCTCTGGTCCTCTGGCATTTTCTTTGCTAAAAGCTGGAGTTTGATGATGGGGTCTTGGCACCCTGAATCTCCAAGCACTTTGTGTGCGTCTATTTCTGATTGGGAACAGGGATAGAATAGAAAGCTTCCTCTTGTCTCACCCCCTCCTACCCTGAACTCAGCCTCAGATACAACTACACCCACACCTCACCTCCTGCATAGCCTGTCACTGCCCCACCCTCTAGGTAACAACTGTGTTGGAAAATGGCGTGCAGCCTCCTCTTGTATATCCCAGTCCTTGGCATGTTATTCGAAAGAGACAGATCTTCACGTACCCATGCAGTTCTCCAGTGGGACATCAGTGCTTATCCGAATGTCATCAATGGCAATCTCTCCCGAGCGTCCTTTTCCTATAACTCCCTCGAACACAATCTAGAAGCGGGAAGAACAAGAGCCATGGTTAACTGAGCCTCCTGGTCCAAACAGGGCAAAGATTTCCAATTTTCTGTTAACTGCAGCTTACTCTGTGTGTGTGTGTGTGTGTGTGTGTGTGTGTGATTGCACCTGGTACACATCTGTTGACCACATGGCTGCAGCTCTTGAAAATCTTAATTTAAAATGAGTTTGTTCAAATCAAATGCATATTTGAAGGAATAAGAAAATATAACAAGGTGATGGATCTTGTTGTCCAGTAACTAGAATATATTGATTAAAAGGACCACAATCAGGGCATGTTTAAAGGGGGAGTTGAAATTTCTCCAGCTATTTTTGAGGTTCCTTTCTCATAAATCTTCCAAATGCCCAGTCGAGGTATTTGAAAACTCAGAGGACGAGAGCAGGTGGGGGAAATGTGAGAAACATAGCACACAGGTTTGGATTGACTTGTGGTTCACACTGGTTTTTGGCTTTTTATTATAAGTTACCCTAGGGCTCCATTATTACAAATAAGAGGAAAAGGATTTGTTTTCCACTGATGGTTTACTGAGCACCTACTATGTGCTAGGCATAGGGATAGTGACAAAATCTAATAAGATGAGACCTCCGTCCAGAGAAGCTGGCTCTAGTAGGTGAGACACAAATGCAAACAGGTACTTGACAAAACAATGCATTAAGGTTTAAAAGTGGGATCCCAGGCATGGGTGGGGAAGATCTCGGGACACCTTACAGCCTCAAGGGAGAGTGACCGCAGGCTGCACACAGAAGCGCTCTGCGGTCTCCAGTCAGCCTCGTTCCCGCCCTCCCCACGCTCTCCCTGCACACCAGCACCGTCCTCAGGCGAGCGGGTGAGGGGCTGGCTGTCCTGCCAGCCACCTGTTGCTGCTCCTCGCCTGGGGAGGAGAAGGTTAATGCGTGGCTGGTTCTCAGTCCCCTCTTGCACAGTGCGCCCGCTCCTACCCAAGCTGCAGCCACAGCTGTGTGCACCCACCTGTGCCTCAGCCTCCTGCGCTGCGGGACAGAGATAATAGCACTCAGTGTCCCAGAGCTGCCGCAGGAGAAACCACTCAGTCAGGACTCTCAGGTCTGCGGGCCGCTGAGCATGCACAGCGCCCGCTCCCCTTCCTGGGCCCACACTCCCGGGGACAGGTCTGGGAGGTTATTCCAATTTCCTCCTGGGATTGGGGATTGGTTCAGGGGAGCTCCACGGGAGCCCTTGTGTGTGGAGGGTTTGTTTGTGTTTATTTCCCCAGCTTTGTGTCCCTTTGTCAGCCTACCTGATAGCAATCTAAAATAAAATGGAGAGAAGAAACATTTGTTGGAGAAGATTTCAGCAATATAAAAGGCAATAGGAGGAACAAAGAACCAAGTCTGGGTGTAGAGATAGGCACATTCTGAATAACAAATAAGAGAGTCATTTAGTTGCCATGGCAACGGGGGGAAACACAATGAAAACAGCGGTGCTTAAGCATGTCCCCTAATGATGAATGGGCGGCCCTCTGAAATAGTGAAATAGGCATCACAAGATCCCTTGGAGCTCCGCACCCAGCTCCCTTCACCTCCCCACCTGATACTCCAGGTCGTAGCTGGGCAAGATGATCCGCCCGTGCTTCCACTCGCCGCCCTGGTCCTCGCGGATGACCCAGAGCAGCTTGCTCTCCTGGCTGGCTTCCCGCACCACCTGCAGCGCCACCCCGCGGCCGCCCGTCGCCTGGTACTGGAACTCCATGCACACGGGGCTGCGGGGCAGGTGGACGGGCGGGCTGATGAGCCGCGCATACTGGCCCTCTCTTCCACTGTCACTCTGCAGCCGCAGGAAGTTCCTGTCATCTGGGGAAACAAATCCAAACAGAGGTTCTTGGTAAATGCTTGGGAAAGACACCGGTTTGCAGCTGTGGCCCCTTCAGGGGAAACTTGGGACTGGAGTTTGGGTGTCTTTGGTTTACTCATGTCCCTGTTCTTCAGGCCCTGTGTCCCTTTCTTGAGCCTCCTTCGGAGCCTTGATTCAAATGCTGTATCCTCCGGAAGCCCTCTCTTGAGTCACTTCCTTTCTATCTCTCTCACGGGTTGCCCCTGGCAAGCCGCCCTCATGTCCTGGCTGGTCGTGCATGTGTTCTTCTCCTCCTGGATTCTATGAGGCCAGACCCACGTCTTATTTGTCATTGGCTTACCCAAACAGCCGACGCGGTAGAATGCACTGAATTATAAGGGAACAGTTTACAGGGGGTGATGGTTGCTAGATTGGAGGGTGACTCTAGCCATGTGGTTTATGCTTGAAGCCTTTGCAGTCTTGGCTGGGCACTGTCCAAATGAAAGACATTTAAAACCTTCTGTCTCCATCACTGCTACGCCTGGGCTCTACTGGCTGTGACTCAGAAGCCCAGTGTCAACTTCAAGCAGAATGTGGGTGGCAGCTGAGTAGGGTAATTCAGGGGCCCTGACACTCCATTCTCTTTCCTATCCACCCTGGGGAGGCCTGGGGGGGGGGGCTTTCTCAGACAGCCAGGCACACACAGCTCCAACGATAAAGGTGCTGTCATTGTCATTAACAAAGGCCATATGTTTATCAGAGAATATACATGTTCTGGGAAATTAAGGGTTCACTAATCCAAATGCTTAGAGAATGGCCCTTTTGGCTGACCGGTTTTAAATTCATCAGACACGTAGGCGGAAGGCCGAGTTCTCATGCCTAGCATGACATAGTTGCAGTATCTGTACCTGCAAATCCAACTCGTGTGGGACCACTGTGGCCACTGGCACAGAGAGCAAGGTGGCATTTGAGGAGCAAATCTCACTATCTTGTTTTGGCCCTGAGACAGGGGCATCGTATGCCAGACACTTCTGCAAGATGGCAGGGGCACTCTCTCACCATACACCTGCTGTGGAATGTGGGCACAACAGACATGATCGTGTTAATGTGGTGCCATGTTAATCGGGGACACGTGCTAGAGCTTTCTCACTCAACAGCCACAGTGAACGTCCGGGGCTTGTCAGGGTGGGATAGGCTGCGACTCCAGAGCCCTGAATCAACACGACACTCCCTGGACCACTGGTTTGCGGCTGTTATCCTGCTGGCATCATCTTTCTAGGTGAGAGCTGAGCCTGCGACAGACCTCTGTCTGTGGCCCAGAAACAGCTTCTTCCTCCTGGACTTGGCAGCTGCCTTGTCCCCCTCCCTGGTTCCCCTGAGCCCCTTCCTGTGGACTCTCTGGGATTATTGCTTTAGAGGCTACCTTCCCTTGAAGTCAGATGAGACCAGGGTAGAATGCCTGCGGGGTATTCCAGTGTGTGCCTCCTCAACCACCCAACATGTGACCTCCGTAAGGCCAAAATCAGCTCAGGTAACTAAAAGGCAGCTATCTGCAGAAGAGAGTGTTAATGGTGGTGTTCTGCTGAGGGAAGAAACGCTGGTGCTAAACCAGGCCCTCCATGATCTTGAAACCCGTGCTTCCCGTATCAGATCTTATTACTACCGCTATTAATGATAATAATTATAACTCATTTGCATAATGCTTTACAGGTTACAAGCATGTTCATGTGCATTATTTCATTTTATCCTTGCTATATGCTTGTGAGCTGGGACTTTCTAAGCTTGCTTTGCACGTGATGAAGAAACTGAGGCTCAGAAGAGTGAAAGTGATTTGTGCAGGGTAGAGAGGCTACTTAAATGGTAGCGCCCAGACTTGACTATGGCTTTTCCACCTTCCTGCTGTAAGCTCTTTATTTCAGCTGCTGGGCAGGTACTTTGCCCCAAGTCCTTGCAATCAATCACGCTCTGTTTGAGGCAAACTGGCTTCCCTGCTGGGCACGATGCCGCCTTTTCTCCTCTTACCTGTAATTCCTTGCTCAACCCCCACCCCAACCTATCTTATCTCTTTTTGCTAATTCTTCTAAGCATTCTGGCACACACAACATTAATCCCGCTCTTCTCTCAACAACTCTAGCATTTATTGACTGTACTGATGATTTTACCTTATTTCTAAAAGGACTTCAGGCCATTTTCCATGGATTTCAATAGGTAACTACCTACACCCTGGCATTGTTAATTTAACCGTTTCTTGCATCATTCTTATCACTCCAGTTAGATTGCAAAGTCCTGGCCTTACACATACAAGGTTTAACACTGCTTCTTCCCTCCACCCCTAGATAGTGCTATATAGATGCCACTCCTCAAGAAGATGTTGTTCCTGTGAATGAATGAATGAATGGCAGAGACAAAGAATGCTTGGAAACGAGGGCAGAGGGAGAATCAGTTAGCCTCTGGTAATCCCTCAGATTTAAATAATCCCTTCTCAATTCCCTCTACCCGCCTGAGCCAACAGCCCTTTCAAAGGTGAAGTGAGCCCATGATGCCACGGCGAATTCCATGGGTGCCCGAGAAGCACCCGGCCCACGAGACACCAGCGAGAACCCCTCAAATGCTCCCACATTCCCAGTAATTTCCAAGCTCTGTTTCCACCTCATATAAAGGAAACCAGATTTCAGAGACTTATTATTCAGCCTTCTTCTTCCTTTACAGTTTCACAAATAAGACCCACTTGCTGCCTGAAAATTGCTTGGCAGAAATACTGTTGCTTATGTGAATTTACATTCTTAAGCGGCAGGGAAACCATGGAATTATGGTTAGAATTTGATAAGTTAAACGTATGTGGAGGTGTGAAGAACCGGTTGAGTGGATTTTGTCCGGGTTTGTTCTATTTACCTATCCTGTTGCTAGAACTCCAGGCCCAATGGGGCCAGAGGTTTCAGGGACTGCCCCTGCCAGCACCCCCAGGTAGGGCCCCCCTCCCCTCTGGTGTCTCCCCCCGTCCCCCCTCCTTCTCACAATAAGATGATAATCACTGTGCGTGATTTAAAGGACCACTGCAAGACCAGGGAGTTAATGCCAGTGGCGTGCTAAGCGCGAGCAGCTGAAGGATCATAATTCAGTGCTGACATCTGAGCTAATCCACCAGTGTGCAGAGTCTGCAGACAAGCAGGCCCCTGGATTTCACTTAGTTAAATCATTTGTGCCCCACTTGTCTGTTAAGTGCTATGAGCTCCAGGGAAGAAAGATGATATGTAAATTTAAGGAATTAGCAGTAGACATCAGTCAGAGAGATGCTGAGCTGCAAAACGCCTGTCACTGAGAGCGGCTTGATTAGAACCAGGGACATCATGAAGGAATGGCTCAGACCAGGAGAAGCCCCAGGAAGAGGAGGAAAAAAGCAGGGGGAAGAGACTGTGCTGGGGGCTCTATCCCCATCGTCTTACATCATCTTCCCCGTGAAATAAGTAGTATTTTCTCTACTTTTGTCAAAAAGGAAACCAAGGCTTAGAGAATTGAAGTCCTGTGTCCCAGACAACTGCTGGAGAGTGGTGGAAGTGGGATTTGAACCCTAACTGGACTGAGTGAACCTGCCACAGCATGAGCTCTCATCTGGGTTGGAATCCTAGGCGAATGCTCGCTAACATTTTAGAGCCTCAGCCTTCCCATCTGTAAAATGGACATAATAGCAGTATCACTGCATAGGGTTGTGGGGAAGAGTAAATGGAACGGACTACGTAAAGTGCTTTGCACAGTAGCAGGGACATAGTAAGAGCTCCCTAAAAGTTACTATTGCTACTACTGTCACTACACACCACCACTTACACTTGCCTTTATTTTATTTGGGAGGAAAAAGGGTAGATGATCACCAGTAACCTGGGAAGGCCAACTCTAAGACTCAAAAAGAAGTATGGCTTGGCTGAGGGCAGTAAAGATGCTCTCTGGTTCCCCAGATCTGCCCTAACCCCAGACGCCAGCTGGCCCCATGTCTTCTGTGTCCATCCAACAGCAAATGAAATAAAATACTACATGATCCTGGAACAAGAGTGGGACCTCAAGCGATCACTTAGAGCAGACCAGGCCTGCCTCCCAGAGGAACTATGGCAGAAATATTCCCAAGAACGGCTGTCCACTCTTTGCTTTACATTCTCCAGAGACAGGGTTTCCATAGGCCATGTCAGCAATGTGTTTTCTAGGTCGCAACCCTAACTGTCAGGAACTTCTTAAATTCAGTTTTCAGTTTTCCTTCTGTTGTTTAGGAACATTTCCTCCTCCTCTCTCTGATGGAGCACAGACAGCCTCTGTCCTCTGACTTGGAGACATTTTAACTTGTGAAGAATTAAGACCCTTCGTCTTTGCTTCCCCAGGAAACATAACCCTAACCCCTTTGAATGTCTACTGTCCAGGCCTTTCGCTCCAGTGGTGAGTTTCCACTGTCCCCTCTTCCCAGCTCAATGCTTTGGCTCTTTTAAGTCATGGCATCCACACATACACGTGCTGCAACTGAAGTTCGCTCTTCTGGAATATCCTAGTTTATGGCCCACCAGCGCCAAACATGGAAGACGTTCTGAACATGCCTTGGTTGCCGATTACTTGCTAGAGCAAAGGGTTGGCATGCATGGGAGGGGGCTACTTTATTGATTTACTTGGACCTTAAGGAAAAACCCTTTGGATTATCAAGAGATTGCCTGAACATGACCAGTGACTGGCTAAGAACCGGCCCTGCCTGCTGGAAGCTGCCTTCTTGTTCTCGTAGCTGATGGCGGTGATGCCGGCAATGGATAGCTTCCAACAAAAAGACAATGGAAAGGAAATATGTTCGGTTGCTGAAAGAGAATGAAGAAATAATGTCCCAGAGATACAATCCCTCTCCTCCCGGACCTGACATGTTTGAGAGGCACTTTGCTGGGTCCTTGACTCAAAACATCTGTTGTTGCCAATGATACAGGGAAAACAATCGCATGGGAATGAACAACACGAGTTCAAAAGGGTGAAGAGGAAGTGCAAAGGACAGGGCCGTTCA